GGTAGCAACTTATGTTCTCGATATGCAACTAATCTTCATGATCACACAGCATTGTTCTCCATTTTTTTCCACGATAATATCGGCTGAACTTCCTGAACAGATTTGCAGCCACTTGATTGATCGATGAGCCTTGTCATAATGTTCATACGTTCAACAAATTTAATCTTAATTGTCCATGCATATATAAGTGCACGCTACATTCATCACTCTTTGACATTGCACGATTACTGTAATTAATACCGATTCTGATTACACTGTAAATCGGAACATTGAGTTTAGAGTTAGTCTCTCAAAGAAACACTTATGTTCGTGATATTTGAGTCAGTTTTATTTGTCCGGTATATACAGTCGTAAGTATCAGTATTTTCTTCAGGCCTTACTACGGTTTCTCAACAAATAAGGTAGAGTGCATCTCTCTTTAACCACGCAACACATCATCACCAAAGAGGAAAATGACTCAACGCATCTCGTCTCCTCAATTAGTATTCTGTTCCTATGATCATTCTACGAAAACATATTCAACGAAAACTCGATGCATCTGATCAAAATACCAACAACTACGTACGCTAACTTTGGATTTCATAATTATTTTCAGTTGCAGTACAACAGTGAATGTCATCCACAATGCAGTTATCATTTTACGGCATGACTGACCTCATCCTGCGTACGAAGACTCAATGCAATAGTAACACATTCAAGTAAATAACAACATAGAGCTTCGTACGTACGTAAATCTTTTCAAGTTGCCATGCCATATTAGCACAGAGATGCAATTGTTACTTCAAATCCCATGGTAGTAGAAGTATTAGTAGTAATCGGAGAGATTAGGGTCCGGCTATATTATTCAAGAGGTAGAATCTAGTGAAAGAAACTTTAAAAGAAAAAGATAAAGGTGTTAAGGGACTTCGAAAGTTAGGATTTGAGAGAACACAAAGAGTGGATGCATCTGCGTCATTGAAAACGATTCAGAGCCATGTCTTTCAACGTCTCTAACCATCGATTATTATCATCTTGTGGACCCCAACCAGGTAGTTGACACCTACCGACATGACTCAGTCCACTTGTCAGCGACTTCATAGATTTGTGCCTTAATTGGTCTGGCCGCCCTTAGCTTTCTTCTAACCTAATTCTACACCACAAAACATCGTTCGTCGAGGCAATCGGTGGTTAAGCACACAACACATTTCTCAACCACCTCTACTGATGAAGATTTAGTACTTCATCTATTGACTTGCCATCGCTACCCATGTTAGTTATTTCCATAATTAATTGTAGTTATGTCATAACTAACCAATCAACTTGTGGTTCAAGCGGCCACCACGTGATCTGATCTGACGTGTCTGTAAACTTTCTTTGTTGTAAATGACCTACTAATTGAAGAACATTATTATCTTATTATATTGATGTGACTCATAACTTTATTCATTTCCATAAGACACGGCATATTGGTCGATATGTTTGATCGTTTCACTTGGTAACTGTAATTTCCTTAATTATTGTACTAATCTAATTGTTTTTATGTTTAGAAATACATAAAGTTTAAAGCAAAAATTGGTCTTGTTCTGACTATAGCTTTCGCATAGACTCTGTGCTCGCCAATATTGCGTTTACAGTTCTAGAATTACATCTGTAGGACAAATTAAATCCTACAACCTAGTACTCGTTTCCTTACGACAGCAATGCTTAGAGGACACCTATGATCACATACTAGTAACCTACGAATACTCTCTACTCTAATTGGCCATTTTTCACAGCCATAAAGCAGGACGGAGCGAACTGCTACGCAGTACACTCGTCCTTTGGTCAGCAAACGGATATCTCGTCTACGCCATAAGTGACGCAAGTTGGCAAAAGCCAACCGAGCATTCTGTATCCGCACTGAGATTTCATCACACAACATCATCAGCACTGACGAGACTCCGATTAGTGAAGCGTTAACTGCTTCACTCATTATCACTAGTTCAGGTGCCGATGCAAGTCAATCTTGAAGCAACATTTTGCATTTCGAGGGGGAAAACCGCATCCCGAACATGCTTGTATTGTTGCTGAAGGTAGTCAGAGGACGGCACTTTGTCAGCGTCTTCACCAAGTAGGACTATGTCATCGGCATATTCTAAGTCAATAAGCGAGCCACCTGATAGAAGGTCAAATTCAGACGATGACAGTTCGCCATAAGCTTTCACTCGACCAGTGGTGTTCATGTAGAGAGCTTGTATTATGTTAATGTACTTCTTTGGTACACCTTTCAATGACAGACACTGCCACAGAACCTCACGATCAACAGAGTAAAATGCCACCACGTTCTTGATTTTAATCTCAGACAAGAAATACAGTGATCATACGAAGGTTAGGATGTACCAGTCTGTTCCATACTACTCGCAACATGACTTATAAGCAGTATGCACCGAAGTGTCGCCCAAAAGTTACCGTTTAAGAGAAGTGTCGGATCAGAATATATGGCACGACGAAAATGCTTTGAAGATATGGGAAAGAACACAACCAAGAGCATTCTTATTTTGCAAATGGAGGTCCGGAGATATCGTGTACACATTTCGTTAGTAGTGCTTACTTATTTTACTTAGGCCTGTTACCTCCAATAGGCCACCGACCAGTACTCTCCAACCTACTCTGTCTTGGGACTCCCTTTCCAATTCTGTCAAATCTTTGTTCATTCTTCTCATGTCTGTCTCCACTACCCGGTGTAATGTGTTCCTTGGCCTTCCTCTTTTCCTTTGGCCTTGAGGGCTCCATGTAAGGGCTTGTCATGTGACGCAGTTGGGTGCTTTCCGCAATGTGTCCTATCCACCTCCAACGCTCCTTCCTGATTTGCTCCTCCACTGGAATCTGGTTTGTTTTCTTCCACAGTTGCTGATAGAGTCTGGCCAACGGATCCGAAGTATTTTGCGTAGATAACTGTTAATAAATACTTGTATCTTATAGATGATGGCTTTCGTAATTCTCCAGTTTTCCGCGCCATACAGTAGAACTGTCTTCACATTTGTATTGAAAATCCTGATTTTGGTAGTGATTGATATTTGTTTGGAGTTCCAGATATTTTTCAATTATAGAAACGCAGTCCTTATTTACTGATCCACCTTGGTTGTCGACGATGCTGCCCAGATATGTAAAGGTGTTAACCTCCTCCAAGGCATCTCCATCAAGAGTGATTTGGTTGGTGCATGTTGTGTTGCATCGGACAATTTTGCTTTTTCCTTTATGTACGTTGAGACCTTTCGCTGCAGAGGCTGCTGCTACACTGGTCGTCTTCTCTTGCATTTGTTGATGCATGTGTGCGATAGAAGAGCCAGATCATCTGCGAAGTCCAGATCAACCAGCTGCATCCTGACTGTCGATTGTATACTTTGCTTCCCTCCAGATGTTGACGTCTTCATAATCCAGTCGATCACCAGAAGAAAGAGAAAGGGTGAGAGTAAGCAACCTTACCTGATAGCGATTTACACTTGGAACGAGTCTGTCAGCTTACCTCCATGCACGATTTTGCAGATTAATCCATCATAAGAATTCCGTATGATGTTGACTATCTTCTCATTCCTTAGTAGTGTCTCTTCTGAAACAAATATCACTCATTCCATCTGGTTTTAAAGTCTTCGTTCATTACACTAGTTCTAAAATATGCTTGTGTTATAAGTTATGGTATTACTATGGTATGAGCTACATTTAGGGCCAGATATAAGTAATACATAAGGATAGTCGAATTCTCATTAGCAGAAGAGAAAGAAAAATAGAGAGCAATTAACATAACAACAAGAATGAACATGGAAGATTGTGACAATCAATTTTAAATATGATATGTAAATGGTACATTTAGTATAATATTTTCATATTTTACATGTAATATTTCACATTACAATTTCCTTTTTCTCCTACATACATCGTTCTTTGTATTATTACTTATTTCCATATATAACAAGTTGAAAACACTTAGCTTAGACTATTTAATCAAAGTTTGAATATTTGTAATGCCATATAACAATTCAAATGAATAAATTAAATTATTCAATTTAAGATGTTGTTAAGATATTCACAAAAATATCCCAAAACCTAATCTGTTACGTCGAATTGTATCATTAAACGTAAAATCCTATGTTTTCACACTGTTCACATGTTTTCAGACTATTCACATACTTCACATCTCGTTTTTCCTATTGGTCAATATTTATGGTCGTTTTAACTGTATAAATAATATGCATTATCTGTAAAGTTCTAGGCTGTATTCTAATCGGACAAACAATTTTTATCTGACAGTTTTGTATTCTGACTAACATATTGGGCATTCGGGAAATAGAAATTGCGGTCGTACTGAAATATCTGAGGTTGACCAATCGGTAGAATTTCGAATACCAACATTGCGGACCACAATGGATGATTAAATAAAAAAAAATATGTCAAAAAATGTAGCAAACTTATCGAGAACATGATATTTCGACAAGGTAAAAAAAACAACGATGAAACCTTCAAAAGAATCTTAAAATCCAATACACGAAAACATGTATACGAAGATAATTTTTATTATACATATTTATATAATACAGACTATCTACAGAATTAATGAAAACCAGCCAGTTTCGATTGATTCAATTCTAAAAGATTGTGTACATGAGATTAAGCATTCTTATATACATATTCATAGATTATCCTATAAATCAAAGAATTATAAAAACTTTCTCAATAACCATTTTTTTTGTTTACAAATTAACAATTAGAAGCGCATTCAGTCAGTCAGTCAGTCAGATGCAACGTAGAATTTCGTACGTAAGTACATCAGTTCATGTCGCCATACCTTATCAGCACAGAGATGTAATTGTCAATTCAAATCCAATAGTAGAAGAGGTAGTAAAGGTATTAGGAGTAATCGGAGAGGTTAGGATTAGAAGATATTATTCAAGAAGTATGATTCAAAGAGAAAAGTTTAGAAAGTCAAAACTAGAGTTGTTGAAGAACCCAGAAGATTAAAGCAAACTGTTTGAAAACCTCTCCAAAATAATAATAATAATAAACTCATTGAAGTAAAAGGTTGTACAAATGTAGAGAAATAAATAATTCATTTGACTGATATTCTATAAAAATTACCAAAGAATTACATCCTCGTTACACATTGTAATTAATTAATTGTTCAGCATTGGATTGGATAATTGATGCACTAAATTAACAAATTTATTTACTTTATCTGGATCAACATCAGGATAAATGCCATGACCCAAATTGACAATATAACGATGTACACTGAAATTGTTAATCATTTCTTTGACTAAATTTGAAATTTCCTCCTCACTAGAATACAATGCACATGGATCTAAATTACCCTTTATAAATAATTAATAATAAGCAAAAATAATAATTAAAATCTTTTTTCTATAGAATCATACAAAGAAATGATATAGTTGTTAGGATATTGGTCAAATCCTATTGGTCGATTTTTATTGGTCAAAATTACGGTCGTTTTAACTGTCAAAGTCAAAATACTTAAATGTTGTCTCTTATTGGTCATCCGGACTATCAATGTCATTTCAAATGTTACTTCCTATTGGTCATCTTATCTGTCAGTGTCACAGAATTCGATGCTGTTTCCTATTCTATCAAAATGTATATATACGCATTATCTGAAACGTTTTATGACCATGATCAGGACCAGGGCTCGGTCCCGGATTCCTAGTCCGGGATCCTGATTCTCTTCTGGATTCGAACTTCGTACTTTCTGGATGCTTGTAGAATACACGTTCTACTTCATATCATGTCTTCTTATTTTTTACTAAATATGGGGGTTGGGATAATCGGATTTGAGTAGCATGTCGTGTCACCGGACCCTCGCTTTCGTTTTCTGACTAGGTAAACTCGTAGTAGTTCAGGTATATCAAGTTGACGTGTTTACATGCAGGCGTAGCAATAATAATGAATGTTTTAATGTAAATCAGTAATTAAATACAAGGTTGTTGTAGAACTAACAAAATACTACCACCCAGCTGTTGATGTTGACAGCGAATGAAGGGAAAGTTAATTTGAACTAGTGAGCTGAAGATAGCTTTTAATTTAATCTCTCCAAACAAATGAATTTTTAAATACCTTTAAAAGAATAAGAAACTGTTATTTTACTCGTCTAAGATAATAATGACCACCACTTATTATCATTAACACTGAATAGAAACAATAAGGAGAGTAGTAGTGATAAAGTTGTTATTTACAAGCATGATACTACCTTGTTTTTAACTGATGATAATTAGAAATTCACACTTTAGAATAAAACAATAATTTAATCAAATCAGTTATCAAGATAAACTTAGGCTATAGGAACTGGCTGAAGTTGATTTTATTTCCTATATGACGAGTTTAAAGACCATCTAAAACAGTTTGGCATCAAGAGGATACGAACTACACCGTATCATCCTCAGAAAAACAGGCTTACAGAGAGAAACAACAGGACGTTAAAGGAATGGTTAGCATCTAAAGGAGGAGATTGGGAGAGAGAGTTACCATTGATTTTGCTGGTGCATCGTTCCTCCATACAAGGAACAACCAAGAAATCACCCTTCTCGCTCATGTATGGCAGACAACCGCGACTTCCATTGCACAATATGACCTGGCCACAACAACAAGGTTAAGAAAAGAGAGGAGGGAGGCAATCAGGAACGTGGGAAAGAAGCGAATATCAGACATAAAGAAGGCGGAACAACAGAGGAGAACGTGGAAACCTTTTGCAGTGGGGGACCTAGTAAAGTGTAGAGAACAAAAAAGTAGCATAGCAGGGGGATGATCAGGGTGGGAAAAGCTGATCTCAAAGTGGGACGGACCGCACGGTATCACGGAGAGAAGCGGCGTGGTGTACACGATCCGGAGAGAAGACAAACAGAAGCGTGTAAATGCCAGTCAACTGCAGAGGTGGTTTCAAGATTATCAAGTGTGTGAGTCACGGAAAGCACCAAAGAAGACAGCGGTACGGCGATCAGAAAGACTACGACGGCAGCTTATTAAAAGAGGGGACGAGTGTGGTGCGCGCTACTTATAAGTAGTATATAACGCGAGTGTAAACGTAATGTCTGGCAGCAGAAGATGGGGGAAGATCAAGAAAGGAAGAGTGGGAACACAATGGAATTTGTATGAAACGCATGAATAGTGAAATGTCAGACAATGGATTGATGATGGATTGAAGATTTGCAAATTAACGGTTACGATATGGTTTTCCTATTTTACTGAGTAACTCTGTAATATTCGTTAAATACAATTCGGTTGCCCTCACTTGTGTTCTCCTTCACCACAGTAGTAGTAGTTGATCTCATGAAACGTTGATAAAAAAAATTGAAGATGACTTTTACTAACAGTAACAAAATATTGGGAACTGAAACTAACTAGATACTTACCGTTGATCTAGTTTCAGACTTAATAAGTCATCCGTTAACAACTAGAAATCTATTTTTAAACAAGCTACTAGTTAGTAAGCTTTGTTAATATACTGAATTTGTGTATGCTTCAATCAAAGCATTTAATGAGTCAGCAAAATAAAAATGATCAGTTTAAATATAGCAATAGACTAGTTCTAGAAACTTCCCATGTATTAGTAGAAAGTGTTCGAATTCGTTGAAACTCGAATCATAAATCAATTATTATTACTTAAGTAGTATGTATAGCATGGTTAGATGGATAAAAATGTAAATATAAAAGCTAACAAGCAGCAATGTTAACTTACTTGTAATGTAATATTAGAACCTACAATATTTCGAGCTAATCTAGGAGATATAGTCCAATCTAGGCTGATAACATCATAATCAGCTTTAGATAGTTCAGTTAGAGCATAATGACCATCTTTAGCAAATACAATAAGTGGTGGAATAGAATCTCTAGGAATATTATATTCATTTAACAAACGGTTTCGTACTTGATTTGCAATTTCTTTCAAATATGGTAAACAAAATGTATCAAATAAGTGTGGACTAAGAAATCCAGCATGAGATTCGAAAACCTATGTATGCATAAAAAAAAATATAAGTAAACATTTACAATGACAGGTAACTTGAAACTATAAACAGATAGATTAGCGGTGCGGAGTGATAAAGGAATGTGAGAAGAGTTAGTCGTGAAGATAAGGGGCATGTTAGGGGGTGTAGGAAGGATATGAATGTGACCAATTTGATTTCGTGTGCTGTTACGGGTATGAGGGCGGTTGTCACTACCCGGCTGCCCACACCATGCAAGAGTGTTTCTTGAGGAACCTGAAAAAGAAGGTTGATTAGTGTTGGTTTTAGAAACGCGGCAGCGTGACCGCAGAGCCCAACGGACAACTGCTTGAGGACGGTCACGCAAGGCCTTTTTATGAAAGGTTTTTTGAGTATTAGCCCCGCTCTTAAGAGCCCTTAGTGGGCAGCCCTTACCGACGGAGACGGAAATCCGTGAGTTAAGGTGAGGTGTGACATTTTTAGGGTCGACATTTTCTAACCCTTCCTTCCTTGTGAGAAGGTAGCATCACTGCAGATGCTGGTTGTCCGAAGAAAACACCTTACTGCTGTCACATACCTCTGCAGTCAGCAGTAAGACTTCGTCTTCAGACCTTGAGTAGTCTCATCGTTCTCCAATCGACCTGCGTAGCATGGTAGAACCTTCAGCAGCATATGTTCCAGCCAATATAGCTTGGTTGGGTCATAAATATTATGTAGACTTGAATGGTTGCTACAATCAGCTTAAAAAGAATTGGTCGATTTATTATTCTTTTCCACTAAACGATTATATATTCTTTGTTGTTTTACATTACTATTTCGTAGATTCAACAATAAACTCAATACTAACTATGCGATGCCGACTAGAGTAGCTACTATCCGATGGTTAATTAACACAGAGATGTTTATTTAGAGCACTAAGTCAATTTTTGTTAATTAATTGAATTGAGTATTAAAATACATTCACAAGTTTAACAAACTATTCATTGTCATAGTTGTAAATTTTCTGTCATTAAGTCAATACTTTTTGAAATCATGAATTGATCAATGTTAGACCACCATTAGAAAACTAGGAGCACTGAACGGTCGTTTTGTCCTGGTATGGGACTCATCAGCAGCGCGCATCCATGACTCCCAAGATTCGAACACACGAACTTGAGCGTTGTGAGCTAACGCTTGACCCCTGAACTACTGAGTCAGCATCTAACGGTGTTAATAACTAACTTCGGTCAATTCACAGTCTGGCACAACCTCATCCACTGTCTTCGGTGAGCACTGCGCCACAACCGAACAGGGTTGAATTCTATTGGTCACAACTTCTCACTAGAACTTGTAGAAACTTCTTCACGGAGCTAGTCACTAATGAGCACATGATGATTTGAATGAAAGCTGGTCTTGTTGCACCCAACAAGCATGTTGCATTTATATCACTGTTGAGATTATATGCTAACAGCCTTATTGATTGATTGTTTAAATAATTCGATAACAGTATCGACTATTTTATTTTTGTAATAAATTCGATAATTGTATCGAACATCATGTTTTAAATAATAAAGAAATTGTGGCAACGGCATGAGTTTTATAGTATCGATCGTCAGGACGGATAGTATACGGATTTAAGGAAGATGTCGAATGTCCACCGCCATAGTGTGACATTGGATCGATCCGTAGTTTCAAAAAAACCCAATGAGCTCGAAAATCTTTCACGCAAAATTAGTCAATAATAAGCGGCTAGCACTAACAAAAAATTACTATTTGATTCAATAACCAAGAGCTAGTTTTCATGCAACATTTTAACTTGTAACCTGTTGATACGAAATACGGTGAGAAGGGTGCTCTACCTCTCAAAATGATCGAGCGTATGAAGCCAGTCAGTCAGCTAGCAACAACGCAGAACTCCGTATGTACATACATGAGTTCAGATTGCTATACCACATTAGCACAGAGACGCAATTGTCACTTCAAATCCCATAGTAGTAGAGGTAGTAGAAGTATGAGCAGTAATCAGGTAGATTATTATTCAAGAAGTAGAATCTATTCAAATACATTTAATGGGAGAAAGATGGAGGCCATGAAGAATTCAGATTAGAATTTGAGAGAACATTAAAAGTGGATGCATCTGCGCCATAGCAAACGATTTTGACCCATGTTGTTCGTTTCTATCCATCGGTTACTATCATCTCGCGGACACCAGCCAGGCAGTCTACATCTACCAACATGACTCAGTCCAATTGCCAGTGACTTCATGGATTTCTGCCATGTTTTGGATTGACAATCCCTAGCTTTCGTCCAACCTACTCCTACACCACAAAACATCGCTCGTCGAGGCAGTCGGTGGTTAGGCATTCGTACCACATGTCCCAACCACCTCAACTGATGAAGTTTCACTAATTCATCAATTGATCTGCCATCCTTACCTAGTTCCGTTTCCTAACACCAGTGTTGCTTACTCAATGGTCTCAAGATTTACGAGCACATGTTCGAATACATCTGTGATCGAAGCTCAGTAACCTACGAATACTCTCCACTTTAACCGGACATGTTTCATAGCCATAAAGTAAGACGGGAGCGAAATGCTGAGCAGTACACTCGTCCTTTGGTCTGTAAACCTTCACCATAAGTGACGCAAGTTGGCAAAAGTCAACCGAGCATTCTGTATCCGCGCAGAGATTTAGTCACACACCATCATCGGCACTGACGAGACCCCGAGATAAGTGAGGCGGTCAACACGCTCGACTGCTTCACTCCTTATCACTAGTTCAGGTACCGATGCAAGTCAATCCTGAGACAACAATTCACATTTCGAGGGGGAGAACCGATTCCCAAATACGCTTGCATTGTTGCTTAAGGTATTCAGAATACTGCATTTTTTCAGCGTCTTCGCCAAACAGAACTGTCATCGACATGGCTCAAAACCGTTTGCAATGACGCAGGTGCATTCATTCTTTGTGTTCTCTGAAATCCTAAACTTCAGACTTCCTCCTCACCTTTATCTTTTTCTTTTTGGGTTTATTTCACTAGATTCTACTTCTTGAATAATATCGTCGAACCCTGATCCCTCCGATTACTACTAATACTTCTACTACCTCTACTACTATGGGATTTGAAGTGACAATTGCGTCTCTGTGTTAATGTGGTATAGCTATCTGAACAGATGTACGTACGTACGTAGTTCTGCGTCGTAACTGACTGACTGACATCGTCATATTCCAAGTCAACCAGCGAGTCTCTCCTGGTAGAAGGTCAACTTCTGAAAAGTCAGTCAGCTTCATTAAGAGTCGGAGGGCTTACATCGTTTTGTCGTTCAGGTTGACTGGAGATTGTGGGCAACTGAATAGTGGTTGAAGGCCAGTTGAATTGATCGCTGAAGTGTTCTGCCCATCGATCCAATCTCCTGGATTGGAAATGAATTATACGGCCATCCTTTTCTTAGGCTGTTTCGCTAACAGATGTATTCCTATTACCAGTCTCCCTGATAAGTCGGAGCAGTTGTCTACTGTTACCACGACATCAAGTTAGCAGCTGCGATCGTGCGCGTATATAGACACTACTGTGGAAGCGATATTTATTGACTCCTTGTAACGGTATCGGTTACGAAGTTTTACAATCGTACATAATTAGTACATGTTTAATGAAATTAAAATAGGAACACTCGCAATTACTTGAAGTAACTGTGCACCAGATAGGACCTGTTGAATCAAATGCTCCACAATTATCTTAGTAAGTAGACGAAGTAATATATGACTTGATTGAGGTTCAGTATATAACCATCTTTTGGCTTTGGAATAAGTATTCGAACTTCCTCCTTCGATCATATAAGACATTAGAGTCCAAGGAGCACCAGCAAATCCGATTAATGGGACCTTTCCTTCTAATCGATGGCGTGTTAGAGTTATTGATTTATAAACATAGTTTAATTCTTTTCGTACATCAACTTGAGCATTTAGGCGATCTAGGTCTTTTGGTGAATTTAACGGTTCAGTAAACTTAGGTCCGACACCAGGTTGCATTTTGACTTCCATACCAAGAGCCTACAGAAAATAAAAAGTATAATGCTGTTTTCACCAAGCGGTAACGAATATATACTGTGATATACGCAAAACGGTATATATATATATATACATATATATATATATATATATATATATATATGTATATGTATATGTATATATATATATATATATATATATACATATAAGCTATTTGAATTAATGATATGGTTTTCAAGTGAGGAATGAGAAAATCAACGACAACCGAGTGACATGATGTTAAATAAAATTCGATTTGGTGAAATCATCCAATCTATCATAACTAAAGTATTAGTCCAAGTTGCTGCAACACGTCAGAGTAAGACAGGACCATCGATACAGAGAACAAAGTATAAGAAATAGTATTTTCAGTGAAAGCAAGACTATACATAAAGTAAATGGTTGGAAATAAAAGTAAGATAATAATGAAACTATGAATCTAGGAGATAGAGAATAAACGCACATACTCAACTTCAATTTTTCAGTAATTACTGATTTCGAAGCATATAACATAACGCTTATAATTACTAGGGTTTTCAAGTAAAAATAGACGAAATTCGAATTCATGAAGCAAGTCAGGAATGGAACGATCATGTAGTTGGGTTACAACTCTAAAAACACCCTATATAATACGTTTTTTCAGCGTATTAAAACGTAAAGCTAATCAGTCTGTGCCGAAGACGTATATTGGAACTCTACTACCAGTTCTGAATGAAAAACAACAGATAAATGAGTAATTCCTATTCCAAACTTAAGCTTCCAGAACAGATCTATTACATAACAATGCAGATTCAATGAAACGTTTATCAAATATTTGTGCTATAAATTTCTTATGTAGCATGAATGATTTGAAAATATGTAATATGTAGTCTGCTCAAAGAAAACATGTTACCATATATTTTAAGCATATAAGATTATGTCTAAATATAGTTACTATAAAGCATCTTAATAGGTTACTAACTATCCGAATGTAGCTGCTACCTTGACGTGGTGGTCAGGCTTGCCTATCGTAATGACCCAACCGAGCTACATTGGCTGGAACATATGTTCCTGAAGCTTCTGCCATGCCAGGCAGGTCGATTGGAGAACGATGAGACTAAAAGCTCGTCAAGGCAGTCGGTGGTTAGCCATACGTAACACATGTCCCAACCACCTCAACTGGTGAAGTTTCACCACTTCATCTATTGATCTGCCATTCTTACCTAGTACTCGTTTCCTAACGACAGCATTGTTGACTCGGTTGTCCCACGATATACGAGCAATGCTTCTTAAACATCTATCATCGAATACTAGTAACCTACGAACATCTACTCTTAACGGCCATGTTTCACAGCCATATATGAGAACGGAGCGAACTGCTACGCAGTACACTCGTCCTTTGGTCAGCGAACGGATATCACGCCTACGCCATAAGTGACGTAGATTGACAAAAGCCAATCGAGCTTTCTGTATCCGCGCTGAGATTTCGTCAGTCACCAGGCTATAAGCGCTGATGCGACTCCATAGATAAGTGAAGTGGTCAACACGCACGACTACTTCACTCCCTATCACTAGTTCAGGTCTTGAAGCAACATTTTGCATTTCGACGGGGAAAACCGCATCCCAAACATGCATGCATTGTTGCTCAGGGTAGTCAGAAGACTCTGCATTTTGTCAGCGTCTTCACCGAACAGAACTATGTCATCGGCATATTCTAGGTCAGTAAGCGATTTTCCTGGTAGAAGGTCAAACCCTGAAAAATCTGACGAGCTTAATGTTAACACTAAGAGGATGTCTACGACGTAGTTAAACAAGAATGGAAAGAGTGGACAGCCCTGACGGACACCACTTGATGTACAGAATTCAGATGATAGTTCTCCATAAGCTCTCACCCGACAAGTGGTGTTCGAGTAGAGAGCTTGTATAAGGTTAGTGTACTTCTTTGGTACAACTTTCAATGACAGACACTGCCACAGAACCTCAAGGTCCACAGAGTCAAATGCCGCTTTTAGGTCCAGGAACATAACTATTATCGGACGTCTAAATGTGTGTCTGTGTTCCAGGACCTGTCGTAGTGTGAAAATGTGGTCTATACAACCACGTCCAGGTCGAAAACCAGCCTGGTTTTCTCGAGTCTGCTCTTCACGAGCTCTAGTTAGACGTCTAAGTATAATCGAGGCTAACAATTTAGAAACTATATTAGTTAGACTTATTCCCCTGTGATTGTCACAAGAGGACTTTTGTCCTTTCTTGTAGATTGGGACAATTAGCGACTGAGACCAGTCAGATGGGATTACGTCCAGTTCCCAGATTCTACCTAGGATCTCGGTCAGTCTAACTGTTAAAACTGGACCACCATCCTTAAACATCTCAGGGATAAGCCTATCAGGACCTGCTGCTCTACCTCCCTTTAGATTTCCTAAAGCTTTCTCAACTTCATGTAGACTAAGAGGACTTAAATCGATTTGCCATTCAGGATGACTGGGGATCGTAGTCAGTCAGTCAGTCAGTCAGTCAGATGCAACGTAGAACTTTGTACATAAGTACATCAGTTCATGTTGCCATACCACATCAGCACAGAGAAGTAATCGTCAATTCAAATCCAATAGTAGAAGAGGTAGTAAGGGAATTAGAAATAATCGGAGAGGTTAGGATTAGAAGATATTATTCAAGAAGTATGATTCAGTGAGATAAGTTTAGAGAGTCGAAACTAGAGGTGTTGAAGAATCCAAAAGATTAGCATTTGAGAGAACACAGAGAATAAATGCACCGGCGCCATTGCGAACGATTTTGAGCCATGTCATTCAAGGTCTCTAACCATCGATTATTATCATCTCGCGGACCCCAACCAGGTAGTCGACAATTACCAACATGGCTCAGTCCACTAGTCAATGACTTCATGGATTTCTGCCATGTTTTGGTTTGGCCGCCCCTAACTTTCTTCCAACCTATTCCTACACTACAAAACAAGGCTCGACGAGGCAGCCGGTGGTTGGGCATACGCAACACATGTCCCAACCACCTCAACTGGTGAAGTTTCAATACTTCATCTATTGATCTGCCATTCTTACCTAGCACCCGATTCCTAATAACAGCGTTGCTCACTCGGGTGTCCCACGATATACGAGCAATGCTTCGGAGACACCTATGATCGAAAACCATTAACCTACGAATATCTTCTACTCTCACTGGCCATGTTTCACAGCCATAAAGTAAGACGGAGCGAACTACTGCGCAGTACACTCGTCCTTTAGTCAGCAAACGGATATCTCGCCTACGCCATAAGTGACGCAAGTTGGCAAAAGCCAATCGAGCCTTCTGTATCCGTGCTGAGATTTCGTCAGTCACCAGGCCATCGGCACTGATGAGACTCCCAAGATAAGTGAAGCGGTCTACACGTTCGACTACTTCACTCCCTATCATTAGTTCAGGTGCCGATGCAACCCAGTCTTGAAGCAACATTTTGCATTTCGAGGGGGAAAATCGCAACCCGAACATGCTTGCATTGTTGCTTAGGGTAGTCAGAAGACTCTGCATTTTGTCAGCGTCTTCACCAAGTAGGACAATGTCATCGGCATATTCTAAGTCAATCAGCGAGCCACCTGGTAGAAGTTCTACTCCTGAAAATTCAGACGAGGATAATGTTATGTCTAGGAGCATGTCTATGATAAAATTAAACAAGAATGGAGAAAGTGGACATCCCTGACGGACACCACTTGATGTAGAGAATTCCGTTGACAGTTCGCCATAAGCCCTCACTCGACCAGTGGTGTTCGAGTAAAGAGCTTGTATAAGGTTAATGTACTTCTGTGGTACACCTTTCAATGACAGACACTGCCACAGAACCTTACGATCCACTGAGTCAAATGCCGCCTTAAGGTCTAGGAAAACAACTATTGTAGGACGCCTAAATGTGTGTCTATGTTCCAGGACCTGTCTGAGTGTGAAGACGTGGTCTATACAACCACGTCCAGGTCGAAAACCAGATTGGTTTTCTCGAGTTTGCTCTTCACGAGCTTTCGTTAAGCGTCGAAGTATTATTGAGGCCAGTATTTTAGATACTATATTAGTTAGACTTATTCCCCTGTGATTGTCACAAGAAGACTTTTGTCCTTTCTTATAGATTGGGACAATCAGTGATTGAGACCAGTCGGATAGGATTACGTCCAGTTCCCAGATTCTACCTAAGATCTCAGTCAACCTAGCTGCTAAAACTGGACCACCATCCTTAAATATCTCAGGGGTCAGTCTATCAGGACCTGCAGCTCGTCCTCGTTTCAGATTTACTAACGCTTTTGCGACGTCATTAAGACTAGGGGGACTTAGGTCGATTTGCCATTCAGGATGACTGGAGATCGTGGGTAACCGAAGTGTGGCTCGTGGCCAGTTGAACTGATCCCTAAAGTGTTCTGCCCATCGATCCAGTCTCCTGGATTGAGAATGGATAATAAGCCCATCCTTTTCCGAGATAGTCTCACTCACATTCGGGTTCTTAATACCAGTTTCTTTAATAAGGCGGAAAAGTTGTCTACTGTTGCCGATCGCCGCTGCCTTTTCCATCGCTTTTGCTTTCGCCACCCACCACTGTTCGCGGTCGTTACGCAGACTTTTTATAAGTCTACGCCTAAGCTGACTACGCTCTTCATCATGCTCAGAGTCAGGTGGGATGCGTTTTCGAGCATCCATCAGTTCGGTGGATGCGACTGATATCCACGGCTTCATCCTAGCCTTATGGTTTACCTTACTAGCAGATATCACTGCTGTTTCCACAGCCTTTTTGATATCATACCAACCTGCTTCTGGATGGGAATCACTTACATCGTTGCATAACTCTCTTCCTAGTTCCTCCTGAAATATTTTCTTGGTTTGATTATCATTAAGTAAAACCCTGAGAGGCTTTCTTACGGTGTCTTTCCTACGCCCAGTAAGCCTTAAACAGATACGAGCTCGCACTAGAGCATGATCTGAATCCAAACATGTGCCCCAGAACGAGCGACAGTCTTCTATCGAACCCCTCCATCGGTGGCTAATGGCGATGTGATCTAGTTGAGTCCAACGTTGAGACGACTTTGGAGGTCGCCAGGTCAGCAGATGCTTTTCCTTATGCCTAAAGTTGGTGTTCGCTAAGAATAGGCGGTTATCTGAGCATAGTTGCAACAGACGGTCTCCATTGTCTGTTCTCTCAGTCGCTACACCATAACATCCACCAAGATGTCTTTCCTTTTCACCTAGTCTACCTACTTGAGCATTAAAGTCACCAGCCATTATTACTATATCAGAGCGCCTAGCTTTTTGGAGGAGGTCCGAAAGCTTTCTGTAAAACTCATCTTTAACCTCGTCTGCACTGCAGTCAGTGGGGGCATAGGCAGATATGACGAAGAGGCAACGGCGAGTGTCCCTATCCTTACGAGTCCTTACTGTCCCGTTTAGTCGGACAGCGCACAAACGACTATCTACTGGGATCCAGTCTAGGAGAGATAATTCTGCCCTAGGACTCAACGCTATGCCTACCCCAGCAAGACCCCTGGAAGCAGCATCAGGGCTACCGGATACACGAAGAGTAAATCGAGCTGCTTCTACGTTTTGACAAGGTGAAATCAGGTTAATGACTTTACTAGGATCCTGTATGCGCGTTTCCGAGACGCAGCATACATCGATGGCACGAGTTTCTAAAGTCCTAGCTAATGATGCCTGTTGCCCTATTTGACACAATGTCCGTACATTAAAAGCTCCAATATGTAGTCTAGAACGGGGTTTCAAGAGACCAGGAACGACGTTTCGTGATCTCACTTCGTCTGCATTAGCGGTGCAGTGAGAAAAGGGAGTGTGAGTAGAGTTAGTCGTAGAGATAAGAGAGACATTAGGGGGTGTAGAAAGGATTTGATTTTGACCAATTTGGTCTCGCGTGCTGGTACGGGTATGAGGGCGGTTGTCACTTCCCGGCTGCCCACACCGTGGAAGGTTGTTTCTTGAGGGACCTGAAAAGGAAGATGGATTAGTGTTGGTGCGTGACCGCAGAGTCCAAGGGACAACTGCTTGAGGCCGGTCACGCACGGCCTTTTTATGAAAGGTATTTTGAGGATTAGCTCCGTTCTTAAAGGCCCTTAGTGGGCACCCTTACCCAAGGAGACGGAAATCCGTGAGGTAGGGGAGGTGTGACATTTTTAGGGCCGACCTTTTCTAACCCTTCCTTCCTTGTGAGAAGGCAGCATCGCTGCAGATGCTGGTTGTCCGAGGGAAACACCTTACTGCTGTCACACCCCTCTGCAGTCAGCAGTACGACTTCGTCCTCAGACCTTGGGTAGCTGCTTTTAGTCTCATCGTTCTCCAATCGACCTGCCTGGCATGGTAGGACCTGCAGGAACATATGTTCCAGCCAGTATAGCTCGGTTGGGTCATCACGATAGGCAAGCCCGACCACCACGTCAAGGTAGCAGCTTCGGATCGTAGTCAACCGAAATGTGGCTGAAGACCAGTTGAACTGGTCACTAAAGTGTTCTGCGACGACAGTAACCGATGGACAGAGACGAACAACATGGGTCAAAATCGTTTGCTATGGCGCAGATGCATCCACTTTTAATGTTCTCTCAAATTCTAATCTGAATTCTTCATGGCCTCCATCTTTCTCCCATTAAATGTATTTGAATAGATTCTACTTCTTGAATAATAATCTACCTGATTACTGCTCATACTTCTACTACCTCTACTACTATGGGATTTGAAGTGACAATTGCGTCTCTGTGCTAATGTGGTATAGCAATCTGAACTTATGTATGTACATACGGATTCCTGCGTTGTTACTAGCTGACTGACTGAAGTTACTAACTTAGTTTTTTAATATTATTACATAAGAAAGAGTTTTTCTGATCGTGTCAATAACCATTGAATTATAATCGCTGTATTGGTGATTGAAAGTAAACCTAAAACTTAATCACAAGTAAAATCGATATTGTATTTTATAGAAATGCATAGGCTTTCAGGTAACTATAGTGATATAATGTATTAGGTTTGTAAGTAACAGTAGTTGAGAAGAAAAAAAGAATAGACAGGTCATTTATGTTCGCCTTGGTAAGCCAATACTAAGAAATTAAATGCTAACAGAGGGAACAGTAACTAATCAAAATTCCTAGCGATAGATGTGCACATCTTTTGCACATCACAATTATACTCACTTGAGGTATGACTAATATATCCGAAAATATAATCGCGCCATCAAGATCGAAACGATGTATAGGTTGCAGGGTTACAGTACATGCAAGTTCTGGAGTACGACAAATCTCAAAGAAATCGTGTTTTTCACGTAGTTCACGGAACTCAGGTAAATAACGACCAGCTTGGCGCATTATCCATACAGGTAAGCGAGAAACAGATTCACCTTTAGCAGCTCTTATGATGTTGTCATTTTTTAAAGTGGGGAAGTTAGTGCACATTCTAGTTATATAGATCTCTAAATAAACAGCAAATGACGGAATGTCTAAATCTTCAGGGCAACTAAAATGTGAAATCGAAAATGTGCATGAAGAGTAGAAAACAAAAATGTGAGAAAAACACCCAAACTGTATTGAATGAAAGTGGACATACTCATACCATTGATGTCTAAAAGAAACAAAATCACCAGAATGGACTTAAGCCGAAGCTGGTAGCCTGAATGAAACCAGTGACAGTTTAGTTTCAGAGCAACTCTCTTTATAGCAATCTCCATAAATATAAACTAAGTAAAGCCGATATCGGCAGGATGAGATGGATTCACCGCACCCCTCCGTCCTTATCGTTATTGCTTTGGTTAGATATGAGTACCAACTGCTATTAGTGCAACAGTGAACAGTGAATATGAATTTCATGTAATAAAGTCGTGGTCGTTTTCAGAGCAAAATTACACTTAATATTGTTTGGGACTTAGTCACGAACGTTTACTCTGGTGTATTTTCATGGACGCACAAACAGATAGGGATGGAGACTGATGTTAAAGTCATATAAACAACTAAAAATGAGTCATTAGCTGGTACTACTTAAATACTAGCGAACTAACTTACAAGTTGCATCACCATACAAAGAAAATCGAGGGACAAACATCTATAAGAACCGCTTATGCACAGAACGTATTTTATTATGGTTTGTCTGGGAAATTACAAGTGAATAAACATCCACAGTTTTAGGATGGAAGAATACAGGTTTCAGACAGCCCTGGTTTATGACACCAAACTTCAATGTGTCTTTAATATTTGAGTACGAGCAAGAGATAGTCATGAAACTAATAATTATTTTGCAGGTGCACATAATCATGCACACCGATTAAGAAAAAATGAACATGTGCAATAAATTGTTTTCGCGGCATACAGACAATTCAGAAGATAAAGTCCGGTTAAAGAATCTTTCAAGGACACGAAATAATTAGAAGTTACAGGAAACAGTCACTCTAATAGTTCCTTTTAACTACCAGTTTCGGCTCAACAAAATACCTTTTGCCTCCACTTTTCGTACTAGAAGCTGCCTTCAAAATATTGTTATCGAAGTCGTAATGGTCCTTTCAACTGATCCGTTGCCCTTTGAGTCATCCAGTTACAACTTAGAACATCATACGTACATACATCAGTTCAAGTTGCCATACCCTAAAAATCATACGCCATTTGAGTGGTAAGCTGTGGTGTGCGTTTTCTTGACTTTAAATAGCTAGCATAATCCGATCGTCAATATACGTTGGAAATTGGATCTTCGGTCAGAATAAAGCTACTCTGTTATTCCCCACCGAGCAATTCATTTGTCGAACAGCGCTTTTGCCACCCTGCCAGCGAAGATTCTACCTAAGCCTAACGTCATTTTGTGAGCTAATCTACCATGGCCAATATATAATATAGACGGTTGTGGACGGAATAGGAGCTTTCGCTTAACGGGCTTCCGTAATTATTAGCAGTGAGACACCGGTGCCTCTAAGTACGAACCTAGGTATGCTCGAAGAGTGAAAGAGAGACACCAATAAATTATAATGAAAAACTGTCTAGAGTACTTAAGAATATGTCAAGCTCCTTCTTGAAAGACTCCAGGAAAGTCACTTTTATCACTCCATTTAGTAACGAGTTTTAGAATTTGGCTACTCATACAGAGTAGGTATGTCTGCAGTTAATTTTGCTGTTAAGCCTCTAGTTTCTAGGTATTTCCCCTGAGGTTTGTGTTGAGAATGATATTAAGCAAGTATTATAGATCCCAGTAAGTGTGAGAACTACAGGGGCATCACTCTTCTTTCAATAACAGGCAAAGTCTTCAACAGAGTATTGTTAAACAGAATGAAGCACACTGTAGACGTCCAACTTCGAGATCAACAGGCCGGATTTCGTAAGGATCGATCGTGTACTGACCAAATTGCTACATTACGGATCAGTGTGGAACAATCAATTGAATCGAACTCACCACTAAACATCAACTTCGTCGACTACGAGAAAGTATTCGATAGCGTGGATAGAAAAACACTGTGGAGGCTTCTTCGACACTACGGTGTGCCTGAGAAAATAGTTAACATCATACGGAATTGGTATGATGGATCCAACTGCAAAGTCGTGCACGGAGGACAGCTAACAGACTCGTTCAAAGTGAAGATTAGTTTCCGGCAAGGTTGCTTACTCTCACCCTTTCTCTTTCTCCTGCTCATCGACTGGATTATGAAGACGTCAACATCTGAAGGGAAGCACGGTGTTCAGTGGACAGCTGGGACGCTGCTGGACGATCTGGACTTCGCATATGACCTGGCTCTTCTATCGCACACTCAACAACAAATGCAAGAGAAGACGACTAGTGTAGAAGCAGCCTCAGCAGCAGTAGGTCTCAACATACATAACGGGAAAAGCAAGATCACTAGATACAACACAACATGCGTCAACCAAATCACTCTGGATAGAGATGCCTTGGATGACCTTAACACCTTTACATATCTTGGCAGCATCACGACGAGAAAGGTGGATCAGATGCAGATGTGAGGGCTAAGATTGGCGATGCAAGGGCTGCATTTCTACAGTTGAAAAATATCTGGAACTCCAAACAACTTTCAACCAAAACCAAAATAAGGATTTTCAATACAAATGTCAGGGCAGTTCTACTGTATGGAGCGGAAACTTGGAGAACTACGAAAGGCATCATCCATAAGTTATTAACAGTTATCTACGCAAAATACTTCGTATTCGTTGGCCAGACACCATCTGCAACAACATACTATGGGAGAGAACAAACCAGATTCCAGTGGAGGAGGAAATCAGGAAGAAGTGTTGTAAGTAGATAGGAAAAGCACCTAACTGAGTCACGAGACAAGCCCTCACATGGAACCCTCAAGGAAAAAGGAAAAGATTTAGGCCAAGAAACACATTACTCCGAGAAATAGAGAAAGATATGAGAGGAACGAACAAATATTGGACAGAACTGGAGAGGGAAGCCCAGGACAGAGTTGTTTGGAGAGAACTGGTGAGCGGCCTATACTCAATTGGGGGTAACAGGCGTAAGTAAGTAAGTATAATAGGAGATGCTCAGCAGTGCTTAGAATGCTGTGAGTAATTAGGTCATTTTTAAGACGCATACACTCTGACGAGTGAAGATCTAGTGACTTGAAGTGCCCTTCATAAGGTTTGGATCTGAGTCTTAAACTTGATTTGGTGGCCCACTTATTGGTAAGTATCGTTTTATTCTGATCCGCCTGCGGCGAGAGAGGAAGCACTAAATTTCCACACTCTGAATGGTGCCAAACATAGCTGTTAAAGACATTCTACTGTTAAACCGGCCAAAATGTTCCTCAACGTTTTCATTGCAAGCTTTGTTTGAAAGGAATTTTCGTCATCTGAAACTCTCAGATCCTCTTCAACTTAGAACATCATGAGAGAAGGGTTATCTAGGTTGTATGCGTTGTCTGCAGCATGTCTCAAGTGAATTACTTTGCAATTTGGAGTGTTTGGAGTAAGTGTGTGGTCATTCATCCGACTTGGAAGTTGAGTCATGTTCTTGTGAGGAACCAGCGTATCGTCTTGGCTGAAAAATTTCTTCTAACATTGTCGGCCTAAAGTAATGACTCGGATGATACTTGTTAAGGAAAGTTTAGTGGTGACCCAGTCGAGATTGACTGTTACGTCCAGGTTTCGCTCCTTCCTTTTGTGAAGTACAGTGTGTCGATCTATTTGCAATTCACGAACCCAAATCAATTACAAAACGAAACTCCAAAGTAGGTACCAAAGTTTATTCTTAATTCACAATAATCGACCAAAATGTCGTTCGTTAATTACAAATAGACGACCAATGCCGTTCTAACAACAATAATTATAATAATTACAATTACCTTCAATTTTGTAGGTTCCTGGAGCAAAAAGCTGCAAACGAACAAACCAAGACAAACAGGAGTCCAAAAATGGCCGAAAATAGTAATTCAAACAAGTTCGTAAGTTAAGTAAAACAAATATACCCAAAATACACAGTAAAATTAATGATATTTATATCAAGGTTTTGATCAGCCAAATGTCTTCATTTCTCCCGTAACATTGACTATGATCACCACTAAATACTAATCACCAATTAATACCCCCCCTTCAATGAAGTATAAGTAAATCCAGGGTAAAGAATATATTTGAAGGACAAGGTGTTCGTTATAGGGGGCAACAAGTTATGAATAATGATAGCGACGCAAAAATAGAAAGTTGTGCGCGAGTAGGTGTTTTTAGTACATTTAAACAAAATGAGTACAAAAATGAACCTTTCCTTTTCACCAATTGAATTTTCTTCGTAAAAGTGTTCCACTAAAACAGCCCTCCCTATAAGGGGTTTACACTTTCGATACGTAGGGGCTTCGTGTGGGGAGGAGGGTAGCTGGTTGGCCAACGTGCGATTGTAGGGCAGTAGGATCGACAAAGTGGAAGCGACCGATGAAGCTGGAGTTGTCACCGAAAGTCTGTTACGTTGAACTGCACCAGTATTAACGTGCCAGGTTTGTTGCTCGAGTTAGCATGCCACACCGGCGTGGATCGTATCCAGAGTCTGAAGATTGCGTTTGTAGGAGTCCGGACTGGAAAACGCTGCAGACGTAGGACAGAACCAGACTGAACGAAGGAGCCTGAAACGACCAGAACGACCAAGTTCGAAACCATTTGTATGCCAGATATATTTGGAACCAAATCACCGACTACGTGCATTGACAAGAGCGTAGGTAATTAGGCTAGCTTTCGCCAAGATTGACTGAAGTCGACGGCACCAATAGGACGATGGTTGGAGGCGTGGGCTCAGGATATAAAAAATCAAACAAAAAGAGAAAGGCATGTAGAATGGGGATAAAGTCGAGTGCCGTATCCGTTTTTGATTGGGATATTAGTCGCGAAAGCGTTTAGGTAGGCGTACGCGGAGAGCGGAACGCGAGACGGTAGTTTCGTGTGCACCTCGTGGGCCTGCTATCTCATCCGAGGTCAAAGGCGGCGTGGTCTGCTGATCTGGACATGAGACCAGAGTCTCATCCGTTGACAGTGCAGATGATGCGTGCTGTCGACTGGGACGTGAGAATGAGGTCTCTGATAAATCTAGCGTGTGATCAGGAAGAGAAATAAGGATCCCTCTAGTGAGTCGGACGTATCGAGCATTGAATCTTGATTTACCGGACAGGGCACTGTCATTGACGTGTGCTGGTTTGAGACGATCAATGCTGGCTGTGTCCATCAACCTTAAAGGTGTTTTCGTGACGAGAGTTCATGTGAAAAGATCCTTTGTGAGGCTGCTGCAAAGGTTTGTGTACCGAATCTACTCGTATGAAAACATACGTACAGGTATATAACTTTCGAGGGAGGGCAACCTGTTAATGTTATGTTCAAGTTCACACCGGAGGCAGTTGTTCGTATCTACGCAGATAGTCGTTGGACATTATCTGATATACATAAAATTGCTGCTCTGTGGTGTGAAAAAATTCCCCAGGCAGATGCAATGTCGTGCAGTATACAAGTTTAGAGGCGGAGTATTGGATAACTGCCATTGCCGCTCCGTAATCAAGGACTGTGAGAAAGACGAAGTAATATATACAGCACGTAAACCACCAAATTCATGATCATCGACAACAAATTTGTTCAGTGCCAGTCGGCGAGGTTTTGCTGTGACTGGGGGTCTGCAGGTGACGATGTGGCATACCACATAATTAATCAATGACAGAATCTCCTCAGTTTTGTTACTTTGGGGAATTTACCGTATATAACAAGAAATAAATAATAATGCAAAATATATATTAGTGATTCGGTAGATATCCGTTGGAGAGGTAAAACCCATGGATTTATTTTTCGACGAAGTATAAATTAATTGCAGCATACGTGAATCGAATAGCAATTCATTGAGCTGTAGGAAATCGATACCG